AGGGACACACACACACACACACACACACACACACACACACACACACTAACCTAAAGGCCACTTATTGGTGTCCAAGTTCGAATCCCAGAAGTTGTTATTCAACTCACCGGGTTATTTTTATTGTGCTTATTGGGGTTGTGAAACTATAGCTACTGCTTGGGATGTATCAGAGAAGGTCTCACTTTTGGATCTAGTATCAAACAAATTAATTAACCTTGTTAAGAACAGGATTGAAGCTGTCCAACTCATGATACTCAGGCAACAATATACTGACTTAACCCAACAAGAATACTGATTAAAGACTGAACTAGAAGATGCCGCCTTTTTAGGGGCTGCTAAAGAAGCTATTTTTAAGCTTAACGAGCAAATTGAGGTATAAAAAGAAAAAGGGGGGACTGTAATAAACCATTGTAACTAATTTGTTAAGTTAAGCATGGTGGCTACGTTATGCTTGAATGATTTGTAAATGTTAAAGCATAATATCCTGCTGTCTAAAATATTGATCCAATAGGAGAAAAGCGTGCCAAGAGACCAAGGCTTCGAGACTTTCAAAAGACCCCATAGGAGGAGGACACGCACCCCAGCAACTCAAAGGGCCCAATGGAGAAAGAGCAGGACAGTCATCTGATGAGAGAGGATTGGTTAAAGACGGTGGCACAGAAGTATAAAAACCCACTGTTTTTTGAACTTGGGGTGTGAGTGGTAGGGTTACGGCTCTCCGCGCACCCAGCGCTGCTTTGTCTATTGTTTCTCAGCCTAAATCAAACGAACCTGATTAAAAATATATATATATATATATATTTAAAAATTGGCTCGTTTGATTATAACACACAGAACCCCACCCAGCCTGCAGGATTTCAGACTTTGACAGTTCTGCAACAAAAGTATTGGCTTCGTGTCTCTGTGATGCATATACATTAGGGTAGGGCCTTCTCCATCTGCAGCTAAAACCAAGCTTAGCATTTTGTAGCCATGAGAAACACAAAGATCGCACCAAGAATGGAGATTTCTTATTATTGGAGGCAGTACTGTGTTTTAAGTCAGTGCAAGCTTTGCTGGGGCTCTGTTTCATCCTCCAGTGAGGACCATGAGCCTGTGTATGCTGCACAGCAAACCCCAAGTGAGATAGCAGTAATTTTTTTCTCTGATTCTGTGTAACCCAGGAAACATGGAGCATCAGAACCCTAACAGCAGTGAAAAATCTGGGAGTAAACTCACCAGAAGCTGAAGGAGCAGAAGAGGAGCCTGTAAAAACAAACTCCTCTGGAGCTGCAGCCTGTTGTCTCTCCCAGGCCTAAAAGGCCAAATCCCAGAGAAAAGCCATTTGTGAAGGGCCCTTGTAGCCTGGGTGGCTCCAAGCATGGCCTGTGTGGGGAATCAGCAGCTCTGGTTGTTGTACTAGTGGATGAAGTCTACTGGTGTGAAATCAGGGGAGGGAGGGGGCTGGGTGTTAAGACACACTGAAATTGTTCTTGCTGCTTTTTTGTGAATGTCATTGGAATCTTTTTGCTGTCTGTAGATGTATTCTGCCTGTCCTGTATGCAGAAACCCAGCTGCCTGGCTAGAATAACCACCACCATCCTCCCCTATGTGTGAGCATCCCCCTCGGGGCAAGGGGCAGAGCTGCACAGACAGGGCCTGTGAAATCACCCATTGCCTCAGCACTGCTTCTGTAGGGTGGCGACACCCAGGTCATCATGCTGACACCCAGGCCATCATGCTGACACCAAGCATCCCTGGCCACAGTGCTTCCCATGCTGGCACAGAAGTTGGAGGCAGGAGGTTCACAAGCCTCTTAACAGGCCATGGCAGGAGAAATCACGGTGCTACCTGTGCCTGTCCTGAGGACAACTTGCTGAGGCATAGCGGTGTTTGGTTATCATCCCGCTAGTGTGAACCAGGGAGAGAAAATGGGCACAGCACAGCACATTACAGACTTTTCCCAACCACTCTTGAGGGCTATGATGATGGGCCAAAACCCATCTGGAAATATGCCACTTGTCTGTGCCCGAAACAAGGAAATCTACAAATTGGGTTCCTTTAACTCAGTTAAAAGCCTGTGTCAGCAGCACTGCTTGTGGTACCCTGTGCTGAAAAAATTGCAGTTGATGCTCCTTGGAGATGGCAGCAGTCCTGAGCCAGCATTAGCAACAGGACCTGCACTGACAGGTGGGCTTCAGTCGTGTATAGAGTGGGGCTGATAGTTGGATTGTTGTTGAGGTATTAGGTGCAGAGACCGTGTGTATGGACTGGCATGTGTTTCCACTGGATCAGACCCAGCAGAAATAATCTGCTCTTCACTGACCTTTCAGGCTTCATATGCTTCAATGCATGAGGTAGTGCAGCAGCCTTTTGTGGAGCTGTGACTGGTGGGGAAGGGGAAATAACATAGGCTGCAGCTATGTGCCTTGGAGCAAGGGTCCTGCTAGGTTCTGCTTCCCCTGTGCACTTCAGCACAGCATCACCATCCCTCTCCATGCTGCGATGCTCCTTCCCAGCTGTGTTGGTGGTCAAGCTGAAGGCACCACCAGCCCACCAAGACCTACACATGAGGTGATATGATATGGTAGTGCACTTCTACACATGCGAGGGGGAACTCGTGGAGTTCTTAGCCACCAGCAGCAGGGAGCTGAGGGGATCAGCAGGGAAGAGACCTGTGATGCTATGTGGCATGTCAAACTCATTAGCTGGGTCCAGCAAGGAGGGACGCATCTCCCCCAGGGACTCCATCACCCCACAAACCATGGCTCCTCAGCCTGTCCAGCCCACACACATGGGTCCTGATTTTTCTCTGTATCAGTCCCCCCTTCTAAATGTGGGGCTCCAGATGCTGGCCCTGGATTTGACATGAGCACACACAGGGCTGTTTCCTGGAGTCCAAACTCTCCCCTCCTTCTGCCTGTATCCTCACTGTGTCATGTTGGGCCTTAGGAGTGGCTCAGGTCCTATTTTGGAAACAAAGAGTTAAGCATTTTCAACCTTTATTTTACAAAAATAAACCAGTTTTACCCTGGTAATCTGTGGCCCCCAACCTTCCCTTCCGCCTCTGCTCCCGTTCCTCTCCCTGCATCTCCAGCCGTTGCACTCCGCAGGCAGCCGCTCGCACAGAGGCTGCGGGTGCCACAAGCTCCTGCAAGTGTCCCCAAGCAAGCACTGGGGAAGGGGATGGTGCCTTTTTGTGAATGCATCCTCTTCCCAGGATCCAAGCTGGAAACTGCCCAACGGTGCCTCCTGGTGGCTCTGCTATTTCTGCACAGGGAGCAAGTCTTAGGCAAGTCACTAGAAGAAAGGGTGTCCGTCCGTCTGTCCCTCTTCCCTTGGATGGAAAATCGAGCCCCACGAAGTTGCTTCTTGCTACTAGTGGAGCCGGCAGGCTGCCGTCCTGCAGGCTGGCTCAGTGCTGGAAGCGTGGGGAGCTGATGTGGGGCTGGTGGAAGGAGTGTGTGGCGTAAAGCACTTCTGGAGGTGGCGGAGGGGATGTCAGGATGGAGCAGAGTGGTTCGTGGGAGCTCAGCATCGAGGCAAAGTGCTTCATTTCCTCTGTCAGCTGCTTGATCTCCCGGCGCAGGGCAGCATTCTGCCTCTCCAAGTCTTCACTCTCCTGAGGAGACAAAACCACAGGGGCTTCCTCAGTTGGGAGCCACTGGGATGAGCTGGGGACACGAGGGTCACGGTGCTGCGCCTCTGCCCCGTAGAGTTTCCAGAATGACGTTTCCGGTAAATTTGGCACAGAGCCGCGCCTGGGCAAACCCCCCTCCCCCAGCTGGCCAGGCCGAGTGCGGGTGCGATGCTCCCCAGCCCCGGCTTACGAGAAGTGACTGTGGCATGCTCCCGCCCAGGCTTTCTCACTCCCTCTCACGCACACGCACGACGCCCGGCCACTTCCCGGGCCTCCCGGCCGGGGGGAGGGTGCACTGAATAACCGCCGTCTTTAACCAGAAAACCACCTGCCACAGGAAACCTGTCATTGCCCTGGAAAGAAAAGACTCACTGCTTCCTGCTAGCAGCCGGGGAAACCAGCGGCTCGGTGGGGAGGAGGGGGAGACACTTGAGTCAGAAGAAAAGAGAAACCGAGGCCTCAGAAGAACTGAATTAATACTGTTATTAATGAGAATAACAACAAAGGAGTTAATAATGATTTTCAGCCTTGTCTCAATAATCCTGAGAGCACTGAAGTCTATGCTACTTTTACTGCTGCTGAAGTGGAGCCAGCTCCAGGCTGGAGCACCCCAGGTACCAACTGACCATGAAGCCAGCAGCCTGGGCAGGACCAGAGGAGGCAGGGAGGATGCAGCAGAAGGATCTTCAAACTCAGCTAAGACAGCTAAAGTGGGACCCAGTGTTCTGAGGCCCTGTAAGGCTGCACCACCTCCTTGGCAAAGCAAACCCATCACGCCCCCTCTCATCCCTCCGCTGTCACACTGACTTCTGACACTGCCCACTCTCTGTGCACAGGTTGAAACACACCCCCCAGCAGTTACAGTGGCTGTCACAGGAGGAGCCTGCACAGCAAGCAAGCATCTCTCAGATGTGACTAAATGCTTTGGAAATCATGACTGACAAACTGGGGAGCTGATGGGAATCATCCAGGGGCTGGGAGCTCCAGCCTCCCTGTGAATCATTCCCCTCAAAACACAAGCTGCAAAGCCCTGGGGCAGATGGAGATGCTGGCTTCTTTTATACTACCACAGCTCAAGCTGAGCCATGCTCTTCTGGGCAGAACCACATCAGAGAAGCCAAGTCCCTGATGCAGAGCCAACCAAAGGCAAAGAGCACTCAGGGAATGAACCCAGGAGCAGCAGGGGGTCACTGTACACCAGGAACTGGAAAAACATTAGCAAAAATTCACCATCCATCCTCTACTTGCCTCCCTGCATTTCTCCAGCTGCCTGCAGGGATCCTCTCTATCTGAACCAAACTGGGTTTAGCCCTTCTGTTCCTTTGGGAAGGCAAGGAGTGTGTGCTATCAATGCTAGCTGAGAAGTAGTAATCTCATAAGCAAGTGGTTTGTCATCTGCTTCAAGAAGAGTGATCCAGTTCTTCTTGGTGCACATCTAGGCAGGATTTTCCTCAGGGAAGATCAGAGCCTACGTCTACCTTGGAGAGAGCACCAACCCCAAGAAAAGAGTGTCTTTTCAGCCCTGTCAGGCACAGTCACCCAGAGCCATCACTGCTGACAGATGTAATTCAATTGGCCTAGAGCCATGTCAGTTCTAGAAGGATCATCAGCTACTGAGAAAAGAGTGAAACCTCTGTCTTAAACTCAGCTCCAACCATGAACTGAGGGCACTATGTAAGGAGGAAGGTTCAAGACCAACGTTTCAAGAATTCTTCCCCAAAACAGGGATCTGGGGAATTATGAAGACCACTTAGTCAAAGGATGTTTTTTTGAACAATGGGCCAATCACTTTTCAAAGGGCAGCCAAACCCAGTGTAGGGATAAAGATGGTCTCTGCCCACTGCAGGCTGTGTCCTGCATCCTGCACCCAGTGGCCCAAAGCACATGGAGCTACACTTACCAATGTGCAAAATGCAAAGCAGCCCAGCCCCTGTGCTCCAACATTGACCACACACTCCTGCCCAAACATACACAGCCAGAAGTGACCATCCATCCTGAAAAGCAAATGCCTAATTCTTCACACTAGGAAGAGCCTCAGGGGTGCCCACGGTGCCACAGGAGGATAGTGGGACAGCAGGGTGAAACCAAAAGAGGGAAAATCCATGCTAAACAACAGGAAAAGCCTCCAGGTACTGTACAGTGTTCAGATGTAGACAGGGATACAAGTGCTACCATGGAGACATTTTAAAATACTAGAAAATGAATATTTATTTATCTACACTGTGTAGTGTCTCAGGGAACAGACCAGAGGAGATGGCCCATTTGGCCTCACATTCCACCACCTTCCACACTAATGAATACAAAGCACTACCATCTCAGAAAAACATCCTTGTGTGCTGTTGCACCACTGGGTAGGTGGTGGCAGGAAGCACAAACCCAGGGAGGGTCAGTGCGGGTGAGCCTGTGCTTTTGAATAGGTTCTGAATGAGCTGGTCAGAAGATGTTAGGAAAGGAAATCAGTAATGTCAGACCGAGAGATAAAGACGGATTCGAGACTAGCTACAAAACTAAATGCTTCAGTGGCAGTCATCATGGGCAGTGTACTCTCGCTGTGAGTGCTGACTCCTACATCCTGCCCCAGCCTTACTTTTCCTGTCCTGACACAGCTGAGCATCTCCACTCCAGGTCCCCACAGGAAAAGCACACTGTCTCCTACGTGAGCCCTCAGCACCAGGAATGGGGAAGGGTGGGAGCGCTCACCAAGTGCAGTGTGTCTGCTTTCTGGGTCTGCCTCAGGCGGCTCTTCTGCGCAGCGATGCGATTCTTCTCCCTCCTTTGGACTTTCCTCATGTCATCAGAAGAGTCCTGGGGAAACAAGGCATGGAAATGACTAGAGCATCCCCTCTTTCACCCTGCACCTGCAGGGCTGTAGGTGAGAAGGGGACACAGCAAGTAACATCATTGAAGCACAAGACATAGGATACACACCCTCAGCATCAGAATAAAGCCATACCCCAGGGATGTGTGATGCTTTTGGCATCCCTGTTGCCAGGAGGGGCAAGTCTGATACCTTTGGGCATCCCAATACAGCTGAGAAATGACCACTCTCCCTTCACCAAAACACAAGCCTAGGATATGGCTTGAGGGACCAGAGTAAGGAGCTCTCTCTGTAACAGACAACCTTCCCCTTCCTCGTCTCTCTGTGGGGATGCAGCACAGCAGATATTCCAGAGCCTTGGCTGAAATATCTGTCCAGAGATTCAGCCTGTGTCTTCCTCCTCTCATCCCCGTAGGTCCCACACCCTTTCCATCACCCTTCTCCCTCAGGCTTTATTTGTTGCAGAACCTTACAGTGCATTGGGGCCCTGCTTTGTTTAACTAGACAGACTCAGAGCTTTTTGTTTTTCCCCAGATCTCATTTGCTCCAGCTCGCTGATCTCTGTACTTGCTCCTTTCTGGAGTCCCTTGGTATCAATGCCTGCAATGCTGACTGCAACACTTCCAAGCCACTTGGGCAGGGGAGAGAACATGTCTCCAGGCTCCAAGTCATGAGCTTCACACAGCAGCCATTCTCTGCCGAGATCTGGTCCTGCTGCTGCCTTCTGACAGTTGAAACTGTCACACAGACTCTTTCATCTTCTATTTTCATATTGAACTGCCTCTTTTGAGGACTCTCTGACATTCACACCACTGCTTCTCCACAGGACTACAAAACTCAGCCGCAAAAGTTATCTTCCCAGCCCATCAGTCTGTCCACATCCTCTCCCCGCTCCACCCCACCCAAGATCTTTTCTCTTCTTTGAACTTAACCATTTTATCCTTGCCTCAATACCCTACAAATGTCTCAGATAGGGAAGCTCCCACATCCTGCACAAAGCCCAGTCCCTATCCTTTGTCACCTTCTCTACCAGGATGCCTCTCCATCCCTGGTTGCAAGCCCAAAATCCGCAAGATTTCTGAACAAAGTCTCAGGTACTTGCCATTGTTGCCAGCCCTAGAGAAAAGTCAAATGACAGATATAATAAAGTTTAGCCAGAAAAGGCAGTGGGAATACCTCAGACTTGTGTCAGTATCTGCCAGCAAAAGACCTACCATTAAGTCCATGCAACAAAACAAAAGCTCTCTGTTAAGCATTACTGGGACGAAAAACCTCTGAGGCTGAACAGAAAAGAAAGCAGACCCAAGGCGGCAGGGCTCTTCTGGGTTGCAAGTGCTGTCCGCAGCAGTGGGAAGCAGGCAGGCTGTCCCTGAGCCATCCTGGTCCATGGCGAGGAGGTGCATGCTCAGGCTCCTCGCCTGAGCACCGACTCTCATGCTGAAGCTTCCTGCCCACTGCCTGCCCAGTATGTATCACAGGGCCCACCATGTGCAGGGGTCCTGGCCCCCGAGTTGCCCCTGGCCTCCTCTCTCCACCCATACCCAGGTCAGTGGCTCGGGCTCTTGGCTCAGCCCCGCATCCCTCTCCCCACAGCCTTTCCTAGAAAGCCCTGCCATACTGCTCTGTGAAAATGCCAGCGGTCGGTGCCACTCTTCCTCCTGCCCACTCATGGCCCACCTCAAAGGACTCTCCAGATGAGGAGAGCTGGGGAAGGGTCCTCACTTTACCTGCTTGCTGGGAGGGGGTGACTGGCTGAAGCTGCTGGAGTCGCTGCTGTCGGAGCTGTGGGGCATGGCTCCTGTCTCTGGCTCCCAGGGCCTCTTCAGCTTCCTTTGTGCTCTTGGTGTGCCTGTCTTCTGTGTCACTTCCCTCTCCCCTGCCCTCCTCTGTCCCCCCTGAGATGGCCCTTGCCTTCCTGGCTCTCGCCTGACCCAGAGGCAAGCTGTCCTGCCCTGTGCTCTGCTACTTTCTCTGCCTCTCCTCTTGGAGCCTCTGCACCTTCCTTTAGGTCTCAGCCTCCTGTGGTTTCTCAGAACCTCGGGGATGTAAGCTGAAAGTCACATGGCCGGAAACTTTAAGGCGAAGAAGAAAAGTTACAGAAGAAAAAAAAAAAAAAGAAGAAGAAAAAAAAAAAAAAA